CAGTTTTCTTCACATAACCATGCACTAAAAAAACTAAGGTAGTTGGGCCCGGCGGCGTGGCCTAGAGTCTAGAGTCCTCGCCTTGAACGCGCAGGGATCCCATATGGTTATTGCTTTGGGACCCTGCAGTCGTGTGGGAGACCTGGAGGAAGTTCCTGGATCCTGGCTTCAGATCGGCACAGCACAGGCCGTTGTGCTCACTTGGGAAGTGAATCATCGGAAGGAAGATATTCCTCTTTGTCTCTCCTCCTCTCTGTATATCTGACTTTGTAATAAAAATAAATAATCTTTTTAAAAATTAAGGTAATAACCTTAGTTTGAAACTAAAAGATAGGCAACTGATGTTCTTTGAAGTCACTGAAAAGTTTTACTGAATACATCATTGAAAAGTTTTACTGAATGCAATCAATGGAAGCTTTATCCTTACTCTTAAGGATACCTGCCTCTCTGAGAATTAAATATAACTACTCGTTTGTTAAATCTTTCATTAAGATATCAAGTTTATCCTCCTACACACATCACTTTGGACACTCAGGATTGGATCTTTGACTACCGAGAGAAGGAGGATGCTCTGTTAATCCTGATTTCTGCCTCTTTGAGTACAGATTCTTGGGCTCTGAACCACCCTGTTTTAAGGTCAGTGTACATTCAGGAGCCTTAGTGAGAACAAGTGAAAACCTACAATGTATATAGCACATTGGTGTCTCAACTAACACTTGGCTGGCTCACCATGTCAGGAAATCATCTTGTCCCAGACCATCAAAGCCTCGAGGTCTAACATGCATGTGCCACATGGAGCAGAATTGAGTTCAAACAAAGCAGAAAGTTAGGAAACAACAACAACAACAAAACTTTTGTTTTGTCTTTTTAATTTATGGCATAGCGACATAACCAATTTAATATCTCTCTATCTTTTTCAAGGTAGGGCTTAAGCTCAAAAATTAATGTCAGCATGCACACAATTTTTAAATTTTTACTTTATTTCAAGTACTTTAATGTTATAACGTGGACCCTCTACTTCTGCCCTGCTAGGCTCACTAACAAGGAGCTGGATAGGAAGCAGAGCAGCTGGCAACTGAATTAACGCCATTACAGGATACTGATGTTGCAAGTAGGTGGCCCAATGTTGTATGTGTTTTTTTTTTAATATTTGCTTATTTATTTGAAAGTCAAAGTTATTGAGAAAAAGAAAGAGAGAGAGAGGAAAATAGAAATCAACCATCCACTGGCTCAGTCTCCAGATGAAGGCAACAGTTAGTGATTATCCAAAACCAAAACCAAGAACCAGGAACTTCCTCCAGATCACTCAAATGGATGTCTGAGACCCAGGCACTCAGACCGTCCTCTAATACTTTGCCCTGGCTATTAACAAGGAGCTGGATTGGAAGTAGAGAAGTTGAAACATGAACTTGTGCCCAAATGGGATGTCCTTATTGCTACCTATCACACCACAATGCCAGCTCCACCATGTTGCATTTTCAACTCAAGTTTAACATACCCAAGACACATACACAGCTCTATTTTCTTTCCATGTATCCCCACAGGTGTCAGAATATTGCTAGGCATTACTTCAGGTTGCCAGTTGAATTACTACAAAGCAGAGGTGGAAACAGAGAATGGAAGGAAGTTTTTTTGATATAGGAAAATTCTAAAAATATAAGGGCTTTATTAAACCAGAACTAACCACTTTAAAGGAACATGTCCATGCCTAAATTCATGTGCATGTGCGCACACACACACACAGACAGGATTTTATATTAACATCTAACTTGGATTGTATTATCAAAGTAATTGTTATTCACATCAACCTAAAATGTGAATTTAACTTAGAAACATTGTCATCTGTTGCTAAACTACACATAAAATTACAAAAGAGGTGCAGCTTTTAGGGAAAATTGAAATTATGCTCTTTTATATGTAACACATAAGGGGAAAACGACAATGATGATCTAAAGTTAGATGTAAAAGCAGAAGTCAACATAAATCAATTTCTGCAGAGCTTTTGATTGGGGAATTATGAGTGCATCCATTCACTGTTACTAAGAAAGTTCTGTGAATGAATATTGTAAATAAGTATTCTATAAATGAGAAAGTGGTATTGCTATACAGCAGCAAAGAAGCACAATTCCAGCTAGTAATAAAAAGGCAATAATATGTCTACTACTGATACAGGATACATTCTTTTTTTTTTCTTTAAATAGGAAGTAATAGCTAATAAATAAAATATAATGGTTTTAGTTGTTTTTATTCTGGGCCTACTGTTGAACAAAATATAAGTAAGGGTTTTACTTTAAAAGTATTAACAACAGCCACAAGATACACAGAAACACACACAAACACACAAATTCGACACACTTAAATAATTTTCCAAATTCCTTGCCCTGAGGAATGGCCATCCTAGCCAATCTCTCCTTGCTGGCTGCTTCCCAGAATCCATATTTCTGTGTTTCAGAACTGCACTTGGCTTACAAAGCTTTGAAAACATCGCAGGGTGTAAAAAGGCATGAAGTGCATGTGTGTTTGTGTGTTGAGGGGGAGGCATGATGACGAGGCAATAAATTCCTTGCTCTGTAAGTTGTATCTCTTTAAAATTTAAGGCCATTAATGCAGGAGACAGATTCAACAACATTTATTAAAACGTACATTATTTCGAAATGCAAGTGATGTATAAAATCAAATGCGATGACGTAATTATTCGTGCAGTCTTACACAGTGGCTCTGTTTTGTTCAAGTACATTCAATTTATAACATGGGGAGTTTAAGGCATAACTTCACACATCTTTGTCCTTCAGAGAGATATGAAAAGAGAAAAAGGAGAGAAGAGGAGGAGGAGAGGGAAAAAAAGAGGGCGAGAGAAGGATGTGAGGAAGACTAGGAAGAAAGCAAGGAAAGAAAAAATATCTGGAGTCACAGTTTCACCATACCAAGCATGTGGGCATCATATATAGACTGTAACAGAGGCGGCCCAGGGCATTGCTTTTGGCTCCAGACAGCCTGATAGAGCCTGCCTGCTGGCATGTGTCCTTGGCTTCCTCTAAGCCCCCATTCCTCCTGGAGTTTTGGGCTCCAGGTCCCCGGGGTACCCAAGCCCGGATGCTGGGCACTCCGGTCCATCGGAGAGGCTACCACACGTTCCCGCGTGTGCGACCAGGGGCGCCGTGCACCAAAGACGTTAGCGGGAGGAGGGGTCTGGTCCGCCAGACACTTCTCTCCATCCCCACCTTCTTCAGCATCTGCAGCTGGAGAGTGAGAGGTCAGACGGAGACAGGGAGCCCCGGGCGAGATAGGGAAGCAGAGTGCAGGCGCACCCCGCGGGGAGGAGCGGTGTAGTCCCAGCACCTCTGTCGCCGGGGCCCTAGGCGTTAACAGACCCGACAGAGAGTCGCCTCCGGCTCCATAGAGTCCTCTTGGAAGCTGCCGCCCGCGAACTCTGCGCCGCAGGCTGGCCTCCCCGCGGGATCCTTCTTCTCTACCTGGCCCACCACGTACCTGGACACGGGCAGCCGGTCGCGCCGCCCAGGGGAAGCCCTCTCGGTGGGACCGGCCAGCTCCGGGTCGCGTCGCCTCCGCCTCCCGCGGGTGCGGCGCGCGCGGCTTCTGGCGCTCCGGCTGGCACCATGGAAGAATCCCTGGTAAACTCGCGAGCAGCCCGCGCCTGATTCTCCGGCATTTGGGGCTGAGCACCTTTGGGGTGAGATGCCAGCAGAGGAGCGATCCCGGTGGATCTGGGTTCCCTTCCCGCCACCCTTAGCCTGCCAACCCCTCCCTCCAGAAGAAAACCCTGGCAGAGAAAGGGAGGATCCGCGCGACGGGATGCCAAAGCCTCCGGGCTCATCCTAGCCCTGCTCTTCCAGCCGCGGCCCGGGTGTATTTATATAGCATCTGGAGGCCAAGTGGAATCGCCCACCCTTCTGCGGACGGCGCGCCCCCACCCTCTCCTCGCTCCCGGGTTCGGGCTCCGCACGTGGCAAGCACCAGCGACGTGTCAGCAGAAGAAAGGCAGCAGGCGGCGGGGCCGGTGCAAGCGCAGCGCTCCTCTGCCCGGCGCGCCGTCCTCCCAGGGTCCTCGCCCGCTTCCACATCCCGGCTGAGACTTGGGTGTCGCCGCTCTCCGCCCCCTGTGCGTGAAGCGGAGAATGGCAGTCCTGCCCCTCAGGTGCTCTGGATGGTGTCTCGGGGCTCGTTCCTTCCCCAGAAAAGAATGGTAACATGAACAGCTGAGCGTGAGAGCGTCACGGGAGGAAGCGGACCAGATTGATGGGCAGAGCGCTCACTCCGCCGAGTCTCTCATTCCAAACCCTGAGCGGGGCGGCGAGGGACGTCGCGGAGCCTCCGCTTCCCGGACGGATTCGGCTGACTTCGGTGGTCTCCTTTCCATCGGGCGCCCAGGGTCGCTGCGGGCAGAGGAGTTGGAAGTCGGCGAGTGAAGATCCAGGAGTTTGTGGACCCCCATCCAGACACGAGTTCCGCCGGGATCCGTGATCCCAGTGGCGATCTCCAGCACGTTGGCTCCGGAGGAAGTTGAATTTGAGTTCAGGTGGGTTATCCCGAGGGGAAAACATTCAGGAGCTGTGTTGGAGGAAGATCAGGAAAATGGTCTTCCAATGTCAAAAGCAAACACTTTCCTTCCTGATACTTTATGGAGACTAGCCGCCCCGTCTCTTCCAGTTCTCACCCCAACCTTCTCCCAAACCCAGTCAGTTCCCACTAAGAGGCGGGGGCAAATCGGAACACGAAAAAAAAAAAAGCACACGCATTTGAAACAAGCAAGCAAGCAAACAAAAGCAAGTAAACCTTCCCCCTGAACTATCTAGCATGCTATTGACTTTCTCGTAAGTTACCATGACTTTGGAAATGATCATATTTTCTCCATTGCTTTTTATTAATGGAGGTCAATAGGCTTAATGAGTTCCTCAGTCAAGTCATTTGTTTCTAAGCCAATAGATAAAGCCTTCGTCATAGTTTTCTGGGGAGAAAGTAACCGTGCGTTTATTCTGCAGATGGCCAACTCCCTCTGACTCCCACAGACTGGCTCTGGACACGCAAGAAAAGTTTGTAGCTTCCTGAGTCAGTTGCTGGTGCTGCGTGCTGGAGACTACAGGACTTTGGGATTGAGCACAAGAATCAAGCAGGGGGACGTCTTTCACTTTTCTTCTCTGCTGCAATTTGCAATGAAGAGGAAACAGAAGAGGTTCCTGCAGATGACTCTGTTATTCATGGTGGCTTTAATTTTCTTGCCAAATATTGGCCTCTGGTCTTTGTACAAGGAAAAACATCTGGTGAAGTCTGCAGAGCCTGGGGAACAGCAGGTAAGTAGCTCCCAGAGGAAAGATCTCCAAAGGACAGCAAGGCAAGGGACCCCCATGCAAGCAGGTGTGTGGGGTCATCGAGTTTCCTCCCCCTCCTCAAGTCTTTACAGAGTTGACATCAAAACGTCGTGCAGATTTGGGGATCTAAGTAAGTAGCTCTTTTAAGATCACAGGCAGTGCCATCCTGAACTGAAAGACTAGGAAAGAGAGAAAAAAGAGGTGGAGAAGTGGAGAAAAGACTCTTTCACAGTTGGTCTTAGGTTGATTGTGACTTGAGATGGATGAAAAGTATTTATGTGTGTGTGAGAGAGATGTGAATAAGTGTTGCTTCTAGTTCAGTTAACAGAATGTTTTTTGTTTATTTATTATTATTATTATTATTATTATTATTGCATTTCATCTGGTGTTTAAGTCCACATTAAAGCGAATTGGTCCAGCTAAATCACTGAAAATATGAAGTAGTTCTCAAAAACCAAGCTGTAGTTTTTTGTATTTTGGTTGCAATTTTTGCTTAGCAACGGTTTAACCTGTGCAAACTTAAAGTTCATTCTCCCTGTTGCTAAGGTGGTGTTGTGGGGTATACTGGCAGAACTGTTCAAATGACACAGTCAGTTCCACAGTCTAATGATAGTGGTGTGCTGCTGAGCGCTTTCCTTCCTGTTGGAAGCACCTTGCAGAGTGATATATTTTGCTTCTGTTTAGTAGGTAAAGTGTTAATATGTGTAAGGCTTTTGACTTAACATGGATCAAAATAGCTGTCTTTCTTGATGATCAGCTGTGCAAAAAATTCTTCTTAGAACATTGATGATAACTAGTGAATTCATATTTACCAATAAATGACTGGATGTTCTACATAAACTTTTACTAATGGTATGCCTCTTTCTTCATGACATGAATATTACACTTTTCCAGTTAGTCCTATGCATCACCTTGTACAAGCAATGTTAATATTCTTAATTTCAAGGGTCATCTCCCTTGTACACTACGTACTTTCTACATACAGGAGATAGCTAAGGAGTTCATTACTGGACAACAGCACTATGTATTCACAGCAATTGAATGTCTGTTCTTGAACTTGGTGAAGTTCATGATTGTTTTTACACAATGAATGGTCACTTGCAAAATATATGGAGTTAATCTGTTTTTTCATTATGCGAAGACATCATTAGCATTCTTTACATTTGAGAGAGAATTATGAATTTTTGGTGGCTTGGTATAGTGAAAAAGAATGTTGACATATTTTCAGTTAATTTTCTGTCTTTTCAATCTAACAGAAAATTAACTTAGGTTTAAAATATGTTGTCCTGTCAGTAGAAAAAGATGGGCAGTTTGCATGTGAAACATTGTAGTTCTAGTTAAACCGCTTATTTCACCAACCTGTTATAAATAGGATTTTATTAAAATTAGCAGCTAACACACTCTTCTGTAAAATTTATATTTCAATGTTGGTAAGTAAGAGAAGCAGCATTATTTTCAGTAAAATATTTGGTAATATGTTTAATATAAAGTATTAATTGATTATATTGATGACATATTTACAGTTTTCACATTGATCCTATTGGTTTGGAATTTTAATAAGAAAATTATTTACCCAGTTACATAAAAAATAAAATGCAGCGTTGCAATTCTTCTGACTTTTCATTCAAACCTCAAAATCCTTTCTTCATCTGGTACTGTACATGATCCTTAATGTTGGGTAACAGTGGTATAGGAGGTATAAAATGCCATATGTGGCAACAGAAGAAACTATTTCTTCAAGTTTTTGCACTGTTATTTAAATAATATATGTTACTGGCTATCATCTGACATTCAACTTTAGTAACCCCTAGGTGAAATTTTTGAAATCAAGAGATTAAGACGAGGTAGTGATAGTTTAGTCATTTAGTCATGTCCTTTATTTTTCTGTAAATTAAATAATGGCTTCAAAACTGATATTTTTCATACAGATTACAATATCAAATGAAAATTAATTTGAATGATTTGGAGCATATTGAATTACTTTATTTATTGTGAGAGGAAAACTTAAGCTTCTTATTGGTTTTCTCTATTATTAAGTAAAATTGCAAGAAAAATTAAGACAATTTTGAATCAGCTTAGTAAATAAATGAAGATTAGGTCATTTATATGTTTTGTCAAATAAAAAGTGATTCAAATGATGAATTAAACATACTTAGTATTGTGATGTGGTATGATGTTAATACAGTTCATGTAAACAAATCAATTAAATACAGGTTTTCAACTGAAGCATATAGTTTGTCTAGTGAACAACATGTTATTTAATTAAATAAGTTGTTTTAAAATTCACTTTGTCTAATTTCTAAGTGTGGTTAAAAGCATTTGTTACTTTTTTGAATCTTCAACTTGACAATGCTGAGATAAATCATAGTGTGATGACTGCAGTATCAACTGCAAATAGTACTGATAATATCCAGAAAAAGTCACATGCCTGTGATTCAAGTTCTACTTTACAGCTGCTGTGATCAAAATAGCCAGCATTTCTGTTTCTGAAAGTGTTTAGTGGTCACAAGGTAGAAAAAACTCTCTGGGTTCTAATTAATTTAATTATTAGAGTGAGTTACAAATAATTTAATTTATTGAAAGTCAAAACTATGGGATGACTAATACTTCAACAATAATCTTGTTTTTCATTTATCAGATCACACAATTAAGAGAACTTTTCCTACTACTCAGTATAAATTTCATTTATAATTCAACCTGAAATCATCAAAGAGGAAAAATAGAAACTGATGGATATTGTTCGGACTTTCAACAAATTTAGTATTTACTTCACATTCTTTTAAAAAGTACCATATTCCACATTAATTGCTTGTGTTTACTGTAGTGTATTTCAAATGTGACATTTTTGCTATTACAGGGAAATATTTAAATGTTTGCCCTATCTGTCATGCAAAAGCTAAAATGAGAAACAGATACCCCTAATTATTTATCTACTTTCATCTAATCAAATTACTCTTCTATTTTCTTCTGTTCCTCCATGAAACAAAATGGAATTTATGCAATAGTTTCCGTAAAAAGATACAGTTAAAGGCTTTTCTTGTTTTATTTTATTTTATTGACATTGAAAAATCAAAATTAAGTTTTTGAAATGAATATAAGCCTTTGACATTGTTAAGGTTTCATAAAGTTATTCATATGAAATTATGTTAATCAATGTATGTTACTTTCAGTTGGCTTAATTTTGTTGCAGTTTATTGCTTTAGAATGATCTAAGTATCATCTTTGTATTAATTAGAAGTGTAGAAACACATCCAAAAGAATCTACAGAAAATGAAGATGATAGCAATAAATGATTGCTGTTTCGTTTTGGTTAAGAATTCTTAATTTCACATGTCAATTTTACATTTGAATTACTGTTTTTTGCTGGTTTTGGCAGTGTTAGACTCTTACCTCAATTACACAACTACTTCGAAAGTTTATGGAGTATGAAATTAAGAGTTAATTTGAATTTTTCTTGAAATTTTTCAAAATACCCTTGTGTCGAGCTCTTATTTCAGCTGCACTTGAGGCTGTTACATAGACCAATATAAAGTTTTAGGACAACACTGCTGCATCCAATAGTATATTTATTTCCAAATAATTTATTAAGTACTGGCATAAAAAATAATCCTCAGAACTTTTTCTAAATGCACAAGTTATACCATTTTTAAAAGTAACTGTTACAGTCACTGTCAAAGTAACTAAATTGTAAGTCATGAGTTGCAGAAATAAAATATTCAGGATACGAAAAAAATCTTAGCAGTTTCTATCTACAAATCATGGTCAAAAATTAAAAATTTTGACTTATCTTCTCTTGGACTTGCTCAGAATGACTTCAGAAGATTTGTTTGACTTGGAGAATTTAAACATATAACAAAAGCAAACTTAAATCACCAGAAATTCTAAGTCCCTTTGAAGTGTCGCACTTTCTGCTTTCCTTGAATTTCAATGTGTGGAATAGAGCTATATTTCCTTGTCAGGTTATGAGATGCTTGAAGTCCTGAGAGATCATACCTTTTATATGGAAAGTACTGTGAGGTAATGTTTTATTGCTAGATCCACATGTAAACTCTGCTTGACAGACGCATGGCTTAACTCTCATTTAAAAAGAAATCCAACTTTGAAAGATTTCTCAGCATCATTGCTTAAATATTCTAGCATTAATCAGCTCCACACTTAAGAGAGTCCTTCTTTTGACCAAGAACATCTTTTTCCCCAGTAGCATTTTAAACTTGCTTTATATTATCAAGCTGTCAGGTAATTGGCTCTCATTGTATAGAAACCCTCTTTTTTTCTTCTTCCTTTCTTTCTCCTCCCTCACCTCTCTCTCTCTCTCTCTCTCCCCCTCCCTTTCTCTTTTCTCTCTCTCTCTCTTTCCATGCTGTTCACTAAAGCTGCAAAGTGTTTGTTCTTTTTCTCTATAAAACACCTTAGATATTCCAAGAATGAAAGATGGGAGACAAAAATTAAGACTTTACTCTTCAACATTTAACACGTTAGATGTGAAATCATGGTTCATGTTGAGCCTAACAGTTCTTTATTAGCAAAGATGTAGCTTTCACGTTAAGGTTTATAAGCCCTTTTCCGAATTTGTGGAGAATTCATTCAGAATCACTACAGGATGGCGTAACACAGACCACTGAAACAAGTGTCTTAATTATTTTTTGTGCCCTAGTAGATTGCTGCATGATTAGTTCATCACGTTGCCCCATGGGGGACAGGGTGTGAAACAATCGTCTGTTCACAATCTGGTAAAAAATAAAAAAAGGTGGACGACAGTTTGCTTCTCTCTTCCTTCTGTTCATTTCCGATTTGGGCAGGCTGTGCTGAATCAATTAGTCTATAATTTCTTTCTATAAAAGAAATCAAATCAAGACTCAATATATATTAAAAGTGTGAGAAAGACTGGGCAGTTTAAGTAATGTAGAGAAGAGAGTTGAGTAGCCTAAAAAAAATTCCGAAATATTTATAAGAAGCCTGTAGCCATGTACACTTTTTCTGAA